GAACTGAAACTTTTTATTTAGAGCTGAAACAAAGGTGGATAGGTAATTTGACAAAGTAAAATAAAATGAAATAACATGCCCATAGGTACATTGTTCAAAAGTATATCAAATGCCTGAGGGATGTAGACCTAATATGTGGTGTAGTACAAACAAATAGTACTTATGGATTGTTTTTCATTTATTTCACCTAGCCTAGTTGTCATCACTTTCAGAGTTCTACATAAAAATCATGCATTTGTGATATAATAAAAAAGTCTATTCCAGCTTAGAAGTGGATTAGCTTTAGTACTGTGCATTGTGCAATAGAGCAACTAAAAAAAGGGTGTAGTGTACTAGTGCTGGCTTCTTAGAGCAAGTACTGCAAACAAAAAACAAGTGTTCCTCAACTCCCTAAGGTCGTTAGGCTATGAGCACTTTCCAAGAATTGGTGGTACACTTGGATGCAATATTCGAAATGCAAAGAAATACCCAATATCACAGAAAAAATATTTACCAATGCTAAAATCCTGCTGTAAATATTAGTTTTTGATAATATAGTTCCATTTATTTTACCTTGGTATTTTTCTTCATTATAATACTTTTTTTACTCTATATTCTAAAAATATTGAAAAATAAAGTTGTGAAATGCAAATAAAGGATTCCATTTACCAACCTGCCTACTAAAGGTAATACATTTCCATAATATGATGCATACCTACCTACAATACTTTAGTGCTTAGCATCAACTAGGTAATAAGAGGCTATCAAGGTAAAAGTAGAAAAGGCAGCTATGAATATACTACAACTGGTATTATATACCAGTACTTACATAGGTAATGTACTACCGTAAAATGGGGTGAATAGAATTTAAGGGGGGAATAGAACAAAAAGCGAAACTTAGTTCGTTGCATTATTGCTCTCACAGTGCTCAATGAAATTAGCTACATTTGATTTTTTTTATATACGGCAACATTGATTGTGTTATGGCAACATCGTCATGATAGTGAAGTTGTTCATAAATGCGAAAAATAATGTCTCAAAGTGATCAAGTAACGGTTGTGAATTTGAGAAGCGTAAAACTTTTATTTCTGTTCGTTACTACGATTGAATTCAGACATCAATACGAATTTATGCAAAGTGTTAGTTACTTAACTATTAAGAAAACTCAAAGGTAAGTCAAATTGAGCATGATTTCTGTTCTAAATAAGTCCAAAAGTTATGCTACCTATAAATTGAATAAGTTTGGGGTGAATAGAAGACGCCTGAGGGGTGGATAGAATCGAGGTATGGGGTAAATAGAAGCGCGTAAAGTCTGAATAGAAGTGCACGAGGGGTGAGTAGCAATACGACTGGGGTGATTAGAATTGTCATTGCTAGGGCTGCTACACAAAATTATACCTGATACTTTTTTGTACTTATGGAAGATTGTAGGTACCTAGTGACTGTAGTTTTATGAAATAGTTAGTTAATGTTTATATTTTCATTCGTATTGAAAATAAATGTTTATTTTGTTTGTTCAGATTATTTTGGACAATGCCGCGCATTTATAAACCTGAACCTGGAGGCAAGCGCTATAAAAGGTATGACGAAAATGTTCTTAAGCAAGCGGTAGAAGATTATTTAATGGGTAATGATTCGATAAAAACTGTAGCTATCAAACACAATATACACCCATCAGTTTTGTATCGCCACAGCAAAGGACTAGTAAAATCGCAAGGTGGGCAAAGGGCACTTTCGTTGACAACTGAAGAATATATCATCAAATACATAAACGTTTGCGCAGAATGGGGCTATCCACTGGACTCACTAGACTTAAGATATATTGTTAAAATGTATCTGGATAAGCTTGGGATTACTCATAAGCGATTCAAAAATAATTTCCCTGGGCCTGATTTCATCCAATGTTTTTTAAATAGACATAAAGATAAAATTTCTCAACGAATATGCCAAAATATTAAGAGATCTCGAGCTGCCGTGTCAGCAGAAACCATAACAAAATATTTTGAAGAACTACAAATATCTTTGGCCGATGTTCCAGCGGCAAATATCGTCAATTATGACGAGACAAATCTCGTTGACGATCCAGGGCGCAGAAAAATTATTATGAAACGCGGCACTAAGTATCCAGAACGTGTCATGAACCACACAAAGGCCAGTGTTTCCTTAATGATAGCTGGGTCAGCAGAGGGCCAGATTTTACCACCATACGTGGTATACAAAGCACAAAATTTATATAATACATGGATTTCTCACGGGCCTAAAGGTGCAAGGTATAATCGTTCGGCATCAGGATGGTTCGATGGTACAATTTTTGAAGATTGGGTGCAATCCATCGTCATACCCTTCTTTGCTGATAAGCCGGGAAAAAAGCTGCTAATAGGTGATAATTTATCTTCACACTTGTCGGTCGATATGATAAAACTTTGCAAAGAACAGCAAATTGATTTTGTATTTTTACCAAGTAATTCAACACACATAACTCAACCTCTCGATGTAGCCTTTTTTAGGCCCATGAAGGCAGCTTGGCGGCAAATACTTCTTAAGTGGAAAAAGACAGATGGCAGCAATGAGACAAGTGTGCCAAAAGGTTGCTTCCCTAAATTACTGAAGAAATTAATGGAGGCAATACAAGAAAATGCTGAGTCTAATTTAAAAGCTGGTTTTAAAAAAACTGGTATCTATCCTTTAGACCCTACACAAGTGCTATCTCGAATACCAACACAATCGAACAATAGCAGTAGACATAGGGAAGCAGTGGATGAGTCTGTACTAACTTTACTAAATGACATGCGATATGGTACTATGGGCGTAAAAGAATTAAAAAGAAAGCGAAAACTCGACGTGGTGGCAGGAAAGAGTGTTAGCGAATCTACTGAGGATTATGTTGACTCGCGAAGTAACACCGGGTCCGAGTACATCAAAACCACAAAGAAAAATAAAAAAGCCAGATAATTCAGTGGAAAAAGAAAATCTATTGCCTAAAGAAACAACAAACTTAAACAAAAGTATTAAAGGAAAAGGGATCGGTAAAAAGACAAAAAGGAAGGCAAGCATGTTGATGGAGGAAAATATGGGCACAGGCAATGCATTTACAGACAAACGAAATGATATTATAGACCTCAATGACAGTGTTTTAGATATGCCTGTATATTTTGAAAATGACTTGGAATGTGGAGGAGAACTAACTATTGAAAACTGTCCACTAAGTGATATAATAATAATAAACTCTACAGCAGAAGCTGAAAATACAGAAACCGGTCTAAACAACGTCAGTCAGTCTGATCATGCTGGTGAATCAAACTGTTCGTTAGGAAATAACGAAGAAGAATATTCTGTGGCAGAAGTTATAACTGAAACTTTACCGAAGATGAAAAGAGAAAAAATAAAGATAATAGAAAATAAAAACTTTTTAGAAACTCGCAAGAATATTACGTATGATCAAAAGTACAAAAAAAGACGATGAGGCTATACTAAGAGACTTACTAGATGATAATATTTAAATATAAATTCGGAATGCTCCAAATAATATTATAATAATTACTTACGTACGTAATATGATTAATAAAAATATTAACTTTATTTTATGATTATTATGTTAAATCACATAGGTTTTGTTTTTAGTTGATTTTATTTAGATTCTTTTGCATTACACAAGTACGTATATAGAAAGAATTTTTCACTTTATAAGTTCTTTATATTTAGTCCCGTCAGTTAGATCATCAAAAAACGTTAGCCACGTATCTTTTGCTTCCTTAAATTAATAAAACTTGACATTCGTAAAGCGCATTAAAGCGCTCTGGAGTGGGGATTTTGTTGTACTATCTTGTGACATCATCCGAAGTTTAAAGGCGTTGTATCATCCTCATTTTTTATTTAAGTGACAAAATAAAAACACGTTGTTACAATATGTTTTGATAATCTAGCTGACGTACTAAACATAATTTTTTGGTAAAATTCACTGTTATGTTTATTAAAAAAAAAATTGTGTGGGTGATTGGCCCTAATTGTTTGTATAAAAATATAATTTACTATCCCTGTTCTATTTTTTTAAAGTTAATGGTACTACAATATATAATAAAAAATAAAAATATAAATTTCTTTGCAACTTTCCGCTAAACATATAAAATGATGTGTCTTACCTGGATTGAAGCGCACCTCCCGCCCTCTCTCAATTGCATACACTAACTCCGTCACCACTAGACCAAGCACCACTACTCTCAACACCACTATTCCAGGCAAGACACACCATCGACGATAATACGACACGTGTTTCGCCTCTACACGAGGCATCCTCAGGTAATATAGACTCTACGGCGGCTGACCGCTAAGCTTAGCGGATAATGGATTTCCGCAAAGTAACGCCTGATTCTATCAATACAATATATAATTTATAGGTATATGTTCTAGGTACATACATAAATAAATTTTGACAACCCTAGCATTTTTTTCTATTGACCCCCTTTTCGACTCCATTCACCCATATCGCGGGTAAATAGAAAACGCGCAGATATTGTAATTTATTAAATAAATGACGAGAAAATTAAGTTAATCTTTCATTGAAAACAGTTTATGACACTTTAACTCACAAGACATGATGACTGCTACCTTCGGAATTTGCTAAAAACATACTGAAATTTCGATTCAAAAGTTGAAATCCTTTCTATTCACCCCATTTTACGGTATGATATTGTTTTATTACAATTTATCTCAGGGACTAAAATAAACAGCAAATTTAGGTAATCTACAAGTTTATTGGTTACATATTATTTATTGCATTAATTGTAAGGATTTGCAAACAATCGAAAGATCTATCTTTAACTAAATTTACAATAAGGCATAAAGAAAGAAAACACAAAGTAACATTTAAATTATTATTTATTAATTTCAATTAATAAATGGAATTTGTTTTGAACTAAATCAGTCTTTGGCTGTACACCAGTGCACAAAATAAACTGCAATTACACGATCACAAAACCATTATAACATGGCTAAATTAGGCGGTATAATGAATTAACAGAGATTTAATCTACTTCCTCCATGCGGGACGCATCATCAGCATCACCCTCTAATGGTGGAACTTCACCAGCACCAGTCTCTTCCACTTGAATAGGTTCGTCTTCATCAATGCCAAGACCAAGCTTGATCATACGGTAGATACGTGAAGCGTGGACCTGAGGCTCGTCCAAGGTGAAGCCAGATGACAGAAGAGCAGTCTCGTAGAGCAGGATGACAAGGTCTTTGACAGCTTTGTCATTTTTGTCGGCCTCCGCTTTCTGTCGGAGAGTTTCAATAATGGAATGGTCAGGGTTTATTTCGAGGTGTTTCTTTGCTGCCATGTAACCCATGGTGGATGTGTCACGTAGAGCTTGGGCCTTCATGATACGTTCCATGTTGGCTGACCAACCATACTGCGCTGTGACAATGCAGCAGGGCGACTCTACAAGCCTGTTGGAGACAACAACCTTCTCAACTTTGTTTTCAAGGATGTTCTTCATTACTTTGCAGAGACCTTCAAATTTGACTTTGTCCTCCTCCCTCTTCTTCTTTTCCTCCTCATCCTCGGGAAGTTCCAGACCTTCCTTTGTGACAGACACTAAAGTCTTCCCGTCGAATTCTCGGAGCTGTTGTACTACATACTCATCGATCGGCTCAGTCATGTAAACAACTTCATAGCCACGCTTCTTCACCCTCTCCACAAATGAGGAGTTGGCTACCTGATCTCTGTTCTCGCCAGTAATGTAGTAGATGTGTTTCTGGTTTTCCTTCATGCGTGATACATACTCTTTCAGAGAGCACGCTTCATCGCCGGAGGCAGATGTGTGGTAACGAAGCAAGTCTGCCAATTTAGATCTGTTTTGGGAATCTTCGTGGATACCCAGCTTCAGATTCTTGCTGAACTGTTCGTAGAATTTCTTATAGTTCTCCTTGTCCTCAGCCAACTCCTCGAAGAGTTCTAAGCATTTCTTAACCAAGTTCTTTCTAATTACCTTAAGGATTTTGTTTTGTTGGAGCATTTCACGTGAAATGTTGAGGGGCAAATCCTCACTGTCGACCACGCCCTTGATGAAGTTGAGGTACTCGGGGATCAAGTCTTCACAGTTGTCCATGATAAACACCCTGCGGACGTACAGTTTAATGTTGTTCTTGCGTTTCTTGTTTTCGAAGAGATCGAAGGGCGCGCGACGAGGTACGAAAAGTAGTGCGCGGAACTCCAGCTGGCCTTCAACAGAAAAGTGTTTTACCGCCAAATGGTCCTCCCAGTCGTTAGTGAGCGATTTGTAGAAGTCTCCGTACTCTTCATGTGTGATGTCATCAGCATTGCGAGTCCAGATCGGTTTAGTTTTGTTCAGTTCTTCGTCTTCTGTGTACTTTTCTTTGATAGTCTTCTTCTTTTTCTTATCTTTCTTGTCTTCATCTTCATCCTCCCCTACATCCTCAACCTTGGGCTTGTCATCTTCAGTCTCTTCTTTCTTTTCCTCTTCGGCTTCATCATCCGATAATTCCTTTTCACGTTCCTTCTCCACAACTAGTTTGATTGGGTAACCAATGAACTGAGAGTGTTTCTTAACGATTTCCTTGATTTTATGTTCTTCTAAGTACTCTGTCAGGTCTTCTTTGATGTACAAGACTATCTTTGTACCGCGACCCAAAGGCTCACCATGATCTGGCCGAACAGTGAATGAACCACCAGCTGCAGACTCCCACATGTATTGCTCGTCGTCATTGTGTTTTGAGTGAACAGTAACACGGTCTGCGACCAAGTAGCAGGAGTAGAAACCTACACCGAACTGACCAATCATGCTGATGTCGGCACCCGCCTGCAAAGCCTCCATGAAAGCCTTCGTTCCAGACTTTGCAATCGTACCCAGATTGTTAACCAAGTCAGCCTTTGTCATACCAATACCAGTGTCGATGATTGTGAGGGTGCCTTCACTCTTGTTAGGTATAATTTTGATGTAAAGCTCCTTACCGCTATCGAGCTTCGATGGGTCGGTGAGTGATTCATATCGGATCTTGTCCAAAGCATCTGAAGAGTTTGAGATCAGCTCACGAAGAAAGATTTCTTTGTTGGAGTAGAATGTGTTGATGATCAGAGACATAAGCTGGGCAATCTCTGCTTGGAAGGCGAAAGTCTCGACCTCGCCCGACTGAACTTGCATTTCTTCCGGCATCTTGAATTATTTTTTATTCACTTAATTATTAAAATACTAAATTCACAGTATACTTGACTAGTAATACAGGTTAATAAAGAGCACGTGTTTCGCTGAGAATCGCACGTACGTATCACTCACTTGTATATCAGAAATAACGCCGGTTCTAACAAGACACGTTCTTTATATAGCGTTCGGAAAAAGCGACATCTGTGAACGAATAGAAAATTCTAGATTTGAGGCGGAACTTTCCAGTGGTCTCCAAGCGTTGGTAGAAAAATCAATACTTTTATAATATTATGACACGCATGACAATGACATGAATGTACGTTTTGGGGCATTGTTTTAATGCTTAATATCCATTATGTCTATGAACTTAAACTTAGTTTAAGAGAATTCATTTGTTAAGAGATGCAGGAAGACGATGGATGCAGGTGGCTTAGGACCGTTCTTCGTGGCATTCATTGAAGAACGTAATAATGATTATGATGATGAGAATATATTTTAACGTGTATAACAGTGAACGTTTAAAAGTATTTAAACGTAGAGAATATTTTCATAATATTTATTTTAATAAGTAATTTATAGTTTAGGTTAATGTAAGACCAATAAGTAGGAAGGTTTTAATGTAAGACCAATAAGTAGGAAGGTTAAAATTCTAAAACTTGTTTTAGGATCTGATCATACATTATACATAGGTAGGTACTTGATATGTACAAGAGGGAGGGTGTTATATTTAAAAGTGCCCACATACACATTTTATTTTATTTTTAATACTATAAGAACGAGCGAATAGCTTAGCTAATATGAGGATACTGCAGTTCATGGATACTCATAACCCTGAGCATAAAATGTGAGGCCTAACTGCCTAATCTATATTACAACTCTATAGAAACTATAAATATTTATACGAGGAGAAACATCAAAGGGCCAAGATGTTTGGGTATGCAGTTCATCAAACCACTTGCCAAGTGTGGCGATTATGGCAATAGTCCCTATGACTGACAAGGACCCATGTGGAGTAGTGGATTTTTTTTAAAGGATAAGGGGGACAAACGAGCACACAGTCCACCTGATGGTAAGTGGTTGCTGTGGCCCATAGACATCTACATTTATCCTCGATTACGAATCAAAATGCAGATGCGCTGTCACCCGTGAGGATCAAGATGGAATGCCTCATCTCCAGTAAAATGGGTCTCCGGTTCTCTACACTCACCATACGAAACACAGCAGCATCAAGCTACTATTTTACGCTGGTATTCTATGAGGGCGTGGTCCTTCACCGGTCGAGAACCCATTTGTTTTACAACTATACCAGAAATATAGCTGCAGCATGGCTCTACCACGTATTAAATAATAATTATTATATAATAATAAATAAATAATAATTTAAACGTAATTTCCAGGCTGATAAATAAATAAACATAAATTTAAAATAATTTTTACTAATTTTTTTTTTGCCTTGATTCGGTATGAAACTGCCTTAAGATAAACTGGCAATGAGCGGTAATCCCAGTAAAATGAAAGTTTGTCCACATAATATTTCTAATTGGTAATACAAACTAATAGAAGCTTTATAGTACAACAGCGTAAAGAAGGTTCTTCCATTATAACTAAATGAAACTTATTAAATATATTAATTACTAAAATATTTATAAACTGCCACGATCATATGGTGTTTCTGTGTCAAAAATCTAATAATAATAATAAATGTCAATAAATAATAATCATAAAAGCAGAACATTTTAAATGATGCCTTATTTTAAAGTTATGCCCATTTGTAAAAGGTTGGTAATATCAGATTAATAAATTATAGTTCGTCTACTCGCCGCATAGCGGCGGGTTATGTTCCGTAGTTTAACATTGTAGAACAATCTGGAATGTTCTAGACTCTACTACATTTCCACTCTAAATACATTAATAATGAATGGAACATTGTTACATTTAGAGTATAAATGCTAGTATTAAGTATTAAAATGTTAAGTCTTCTCAAATTACCCACCTATTTACCTTTTAAATTATGATTTAATAGTATTTCTGTAAATTTGCCCAGAATGTTCGATCTGTTTCCGGTTACTAGTTTAACTTTCCGCCGCTAAGAGCGCTGAAATCATCCGGGATTATCAACCGGTAGTTGTAACAACCCCGGTTTCTAGATCTATCTTAAAACGTATGTATTGATTTTATGCATGATAGTAACTTAGAATGCATATTATAATATTTTGTTTTATATTGGTAGAGTATGCAAAATGTCATGTTTGTATGAATATCCCTTGTGGAATAACTACAATTTGGTACTAAGTACCTACTAACCAGTACTAACACGTGCTTAGGTTTGAACTTCGAATAGGTTAGAATACTCTAGGCATTGAGTTATTATAAATCAATGACTCTAGGTACTAATCTTACCTTAACCTTGCACATTAATTTTAGAAATTAAAATTAGGTAGCCAATTGTACCTAGGTACGCCCTACAGCTGGACACAAATCTTTCATTTCTGAAAGCATAGAGTAATTAGACCAATAATTATATTGAATTATAATGAATTAGACTAATAATTCTATGTCTGAAAGGGTTACCCGTTCCTATTGTTTTATAATTCGAGGTTATTGATAACATTTTTTTTTATAGGATCGAGTGACAAACGAGCGCACAGTCCACCTGATGGTAAGTGGTTGCTGTGGCCCATAGACATCTACCTACATCTATCCTCGTTTGCGAATCAAAATGCAGATGCGTTGTCACTCGTGAGGACTAAGATGGAATGCCTCTTTTCCAGTAAAAAGGGTCTCCGGTTCTCTACACTCACCATACGAAACAGCAGTGTTAAGCTGCTATTTTACGCTGGTATTCGTGAGAGCGTGGTCCTTCCCCGGTCAAGTCGACCCATTCGTGCTACAACTATGCTACTAATATAGCTGCAGCATAGCTCTACCACGTATGGATAATAAGTATTCTAATATTAAACCTATCATCTTTAATTTCTGAAAGCATAGAGTCCTAATTAGACTAATAATTCTATATCTGAAAGGGTTACCAATTCCTATTGTTTTATAATTCGAGGTTATTGAAAACACAATAAGTATTCTAATATTAAAACTTTAATTATTTTAAACCCTTAAAATTAGTTAGGTATTAAATTAATTTTAATATGAAATCTATGTTCAGCACTTGGACTTATATAGACTGTAATGTAAATAGGTATATGGATGAATAAATAAGAAACCTTTGCCTACCTATTAGTTAGTATAAATTAAATTGTTAATCATGTATCCGATTAAAGGTATAGGTACCTACCTATACCATGTCTCATTCATGATGAGTTCATTGGCATAATATTACTTTCTATCAATGCATGAGTATACTTAAAATTATTCTTAGGTAGGTACCTACCTATACATATCTATATTTTTCCAATTATAGTTTCATATTTTTCTCATAAATATATTATGTACATATGTATCTATTGCAACTTGCTTAGTGTTTTGTTATGTAATTTTATTGTATAAAATATAAAGTTACGATTAATTAAATAAATTCTTAAAAAATAGAAATAGTTATCATTGTTACGCACAGATACAATTTTTTAGATAATTTCAGAATAAAGAAAATTGCCATCTTTCGCATATTATTGAAACTTTTTCCCGATTAGTTTTATACTAGATACATAGGCATATTGCTGTGAAAATACATAATTTCATTTACTTATGGTTTGATTTGATCTTTTCAAGCCCGTGCGTCCTGGGCACAGAGTACATTATATAGTCCTGGGGTCGTCTTTAAAAAGGAAAATACCAGAAATACGTTGATGCCTACAATATAAAGGAATGTTAACAGTTTATCGGTTTTGTCCACAGAATAAAAAAAACAACTTGTTTTTTTATATTCCGTGGTTTTCTCTATCACTTTCCCATTACCTGCTAGCATGTGAATGTTTATACTGCCATCTATTGGAATCCTTATGAACCACTATATCTACAAAATGTCATGAAGGAAGTACAGGCTTTAAGTCAAAATTTAGATATTCAAATAAAGATATAGATAGATAAATATATTCAAATATTTACGAGACAAGAGTAAAGGCTTTCACTGTCACCATCAAAGACTGCATAAACATAGTACTTATTATTTATTCATATTTGAATGAAATATGTTGTGCGGCGTAGATGCAAGAACCGGTTGTTACCAACTTGACAAACGGCAATTACGGGAATTTTTTTATAATTGTAATAGGAAAAGGTGTGAGTCTACAATAGTAAGAAATCAATAAAAAAGATAAAAATTTAGGTTAATGTATTTTTTATTACAGAGCCATCTCATGACATTGCTAAGGAATGTTGCTAAAACAGACTCCATTCCGACAGAATTATATTTATTTAAAATAACTGGTTTTATATATAAAATTGTGTTTCTTTTAAATTTAAAGTAAGTTCATAGTTATATTGCATATTTTTTTTCTATAAAACTGAATTGACATACGGACTAACATTCCACCTGATGGTAAGTATGGCTACTGCAGTCCTGCACACCTGCAGCACAGATTAAATGCCTGCAACAAAGTTCAAACAAAAATGGCTACCGATACTGTCAATAATTCTGAAGACTAATGGAATGTTTCATAGCCTGTATTTATCTGCACCCTTCAGACTGGAATACAGCAATGCAAGCACTGCCATCTGACGACAGAAATAGGTAGTAAAAAGGTAGTACATTATATACACAGACCAAATAATAAATAATAGCGCCCAGACGAAGTTCTAGATAGAAAGAATAGATACAGCCATTATAAATAAAAACGTTGTACTTATATCGTTTATAATACTTCAGATTTTTATTACAATATATAAACAACCACATATTTTACTCTATTGCCATTGAGAAACGCAGTTTTTTTAATTATAATAAACTTTGTTACAGACCCATCTTGTGACAAAAAGTATCGGAATGAATTATGGAGTGAAGTTAGACATTGTTTTACCTGAAATAAGTAAAATAATAATTAAAAAAAATTAGGTTAATAATTAACGTGGTAAGACTACTTTCGTTTCAAAAAATTGTTTTATTCTATAAGGTACATATTCAAAAATTAAAGTGAATTTACAAGATTACATTACATGATTATACGTTACTTTTCGTCGGTAGATGGCGCGTTTTGGAATTCCAGAAAATTCTACTTGATACGAGAATGCTCTAGTGAAATACACGAGCTTCGGGTTTCGGGTATAAAAGCGACGTAGTATGGTTGATCGCAGGTACTTGGAATAAAGATAAACGAGAAAACGGAAAGTGAGTTCGGAGCTTCGGAGTTTATACGATTGTGAACTAATTGCAGTATATTCGTTGATTCGTGATTCCTTTTTAATAATAGAAAATGGCGCTTTTACCTTATTACTTTGACGAATTAAGCCCGAGAAGTATTCGCAACCAACTTTTTGGTTTGGATTTCGCTCCAGATGACTTGCTAACCGATGTGTTAGAGCGTCCGTTAGTACGTAGTATGCGACAGTACATGCGTCCATGGAGAAATCTCACGGCTTTGAGTCGCGACATTGGATCTACCATAAAAACGGATAAGGACAAATTTCAAGTCAATTTGGACGTGCAGCATTTCGCTCCGGATGAAATAAGTGTAAAGACAGTTGATGGATACGTTGTTATAGAAGGCAAACACGAAGAGAAAAAAGATGAACACGGTTTTATATCGCGGCAGTTTAAGCGGCGTTATGCTTTACCAGAAGACTGCAACCCTGATACGGTAGAGTCCAAATTGTCTTCTGACGGCGTCCTCACTGTCATCGCTCCAAAAGAATCTGGTTCGAAGGGCGAAAGAGCGGTACCAATTTCTCACACGGGACCAGTAAGAAGGAAACCACAGGACGAAGAACCAAATGGTGATGTTGAAGAAGAGGTGAAGTCACCGCAGAAGAAAAGAAGGCGTTAATTTGTGTGTTTTCTTTTAATATTATCTTTACAAATTTCGTATTAGTTAAAGACTGATTTTTTTTAATTGAATAAGTAAATATAGATTCCTAATTATTAAAATGTGGTTTTATTTACATTTCTTTTAAACAACTAACGAAAGTGTGTATAAATTATTTTACTTGGTTGATAACAGATATTTACTGTATAAATCATACAATATATGTATAAATCATACAATATATGTATAAATCATAAAATACTTTTTGAGTTACCGTATCATTGATATTTTTGTTTTATTGAAGGAATATATTTTCATTACTTATTCCTCAACACGTGTTCCTGGGTCAGATACAGATACGCGGACATCCTCTGTGTCACAGAGTACCTTTGTATAAACCGAATTGCTCTGTGTACAGTATAGTAAACCATACAGTATACACTGTACAGTATAGTAAAAGTAAACCATACAGTATACACTACAGGTACATAAGCAAGCTAACAACCTATGTATACTCTGGTAACCATATTCAAGTTGATGCTATGTGCTCCCCAGTTAGCCGTCAAGGTAGTGCATCATGGATTCGCATATTATTTTATCAATTTATCGTAAAATAGCGTGTTCATCAATGAATGCACAGGGTTCGTAGTTCTTTGTTTCTGATAACAAAGTACAGGATAGACTGATAGATTTATTTATTCTTTTAATATCATTATAACCTTATAAATTGTAATGACACGCCTTTGAAGTCACACGCTACTTGGAAACGTGTGTATTGAATATTACCTATTTTTCTTTCCGTTATATTAAAATGGATTTCTTTACCGCCTGATTCTATTAATTATATTTTTCTTTCGATTTTCTCCATCGACTGTACAGTGTAGATACACCTGGTTTAAAATACAAACACAGGATACAGTGCAATCTCTTGAATGGTGATAATAATTTGTAAATACTATGAAAAAACTTTGGCTTAAATGCAAAGATTTGGAATTGATCTAGGTCTAATGAGTAGTTTTTGAGTTATCCTTAACAATTTATATTGAAGTTGGTTGCACAAAATTTTTAATTTTGCCACTTGGGTCATACGAAGTCATGCTCTGCAGTTTTATGTTCTTAGTCAAGGTATATACAACAAGGTATATGGTATAAATTAAGGTATGTTACGTGCTTCGCGCTTTGTTTATTTGTACACCCAAAGCATGGCGGTAGGAGAACGTAAGAATTACATGGCTGAAAAATAATAATTTGAGAACATATGAAGTCTGTCTCCGAGCTGAAAAACCTTATTTTAAAACTGTATTAGTAGAAAAAATGAGGTTTTACCAACGAAATTTTAATATCGTAAATCCACAGAATAAATAATAGTACTAGTAAATGGAAGAAATACGGATTGAGTTTAGCGGTGGGATGAGTGTGCGAAACATTAGATTTCTATGATGTTACTTAATTTACGACTTCAAATCATTACTTTAACGATAATAACTTCTTTACGTGGTAGAGCCATGCTGCAACTATATTATCGTTGTAAAAAACAGAAGGCAGCAGGCAAAAATGAAAAGGTGTATTAAACACGCTTTGTTTGTTTAAGATCAAGGGACGTTTCTATTGTACTTTTGCATACAAGAAAATATTTTGAAGGGCATTGCAAATAAAATGTAGCGATGAGAATACATATATTTCAACTTTAGTCTAGTTTCAATCAATTTGTCAATTTTCATAAAAATTGTCTCATTGAATTACTTTGTTTTTTAAAACTAACCAGAAACGTTGAATAGTTTAAGCGCTAAAAAGTATGAATTCAGTCCGGCGTTATAGAAGCAGAAGAATTTGCTGATTACAAATATGTATTTATCAATTCTACCACAGATTATAGAAACAACATTAATCGTCGGGGAAAAAGTTTCTTCGTATTTTTGTTTATATTTAATTGAAGAAAAAGCTCTTTGTTTGTACTGTTTGTAAACTGGTTTTAATATAAATACATATAGGCCCCGTGTAGTGGCGGGTAAGAATACTCACTACCCCTGATTACTTCTTAGCCGCGTCTACGTGCTGTTTTCGAGAGACATTACGAATCGCCTCGCGCGCAGGCTTGACGACTTCCAGCCTCCCGAACAACCCGATTTCCGAAAAGGCTTTAGCACCATAGACCACATACATACCCATCGGCAAATTGTACAGAAGTCCTAGGAGTACAATTTGCCACTATGTCTGGCGTATGTGGACAATGAGAAAGCCTTTGATTGCGTCGAAATTTGGGTGGTGCTGCAGTCCCTTCAGCGATGCCAAGTTGACTGTCGGTATATCGAAGTGGTGAAGTGCTTGTATAGTAGGGCTACGATGGCTATCCGAGTGCAGAACCAGAGTACGAAACCTATCCAATTGCAGAGAGGTGTAAGACAGGGTGACGTTATATCCCCGAAACTCTTCACCGCTGTATTGGAAGACGTTTTCAAGCTTCTGGATTGGAAAGGATACGGTATTAACAGTAACTGACATAGCCCAACGGATTAGTAAGCTGAAGTGGCAGTGGGCCGGCCATATAGCTCGAAGAACCGACAACCAATGGGGAAGAAAGGTTCTTGAGTGGCAGCCTCGTACTGGTAGGCGAAGTGTAGGACGACCCCCCACGAGATGGAGTGACGACCTGGAAAGACATGCAGGAAGTCGATGGATGCAGGTGGCTCAGGACCGTGCTTAATGATGTAATGATGAATTTGCATTTAACTTGATTTGATAGGAACTGTATTTGTTATTTGTTAATTTATTTGTGTTTGAGCCGCGTAGTAATTTGTATTTAGAAGTGATGCCATCGCGCTGCCAGGGCAATCACCATACCCTTTTGTGTCTGGGTGCGAACGGCGTTTCCTCTCAGGGCTCTGCCGGGCCCTAGACTCCCAAGGACGGGGGCGCTCAGCCGCGCCCCCTGTCGGACGACGCTCGGCGCTCGCCCGCCGGCCACCGTGCCCCTGGGTTTGAAAGGGGTCCCTCCCCGAACCAGTCAGGGGGTCGCTTTCCCAGGGGCGGGGTGGTCGTCGCCCCCCCCTCAATGTGTTGAGAGGGACTTCACAGCCACTCAGCGGTCAGCTAGACCCTTCTCACCCCCGTCAGCTGAGTGGCCGCGACTGAGGTACCACCGTCCCCCCTTTGATGCAGGCAGCCCCAGCTAGGTAGCTGCCGCCCTAGCTCCCACCACGGCCGCCTCCACTAATCCTTTGAGCCGTCAACAGCTCACTTGTCAAACTGTTCTATTGCCGACGGCCTCATGTTCAGCAGTGGACTTGTGAAGGGCTGTAATGATGAATGATGATTAAGAAAAAGAAAAATAAAAAGTAAAAAGCACTTTCCCGCCATTTTTCAATTGGTTTTCTGTCCGCCAAAATGAGTGAATACGAATACTAACGAAGAAATTCGATACATTCTGAAATTTTATTACAAACAAGTGGTAAAATTAAAAATTTTGTACTATACTGGTATTGTACTGGTATTACCTTTATAACATACAAATACAATTATATATCGTAAGAGGTGACAGAGCGAAACGAGTCAGTAGATGGGCTTGAGGAACAATGTCTTCTTAATAACGACTAAAAATGAAAAACTGCGGTCGCCAACCCGCTTGCTAAGCGTGGGAACTATGGCAAGTATCTCCCTATGAGGCAATTTATGGGGGAGACCTATGTTCCGCAGTGGACTTCAACAGGTTGTAACGGTAACTATATATACCATACAATTTCTATAAGTTTGTGTGTGGAAAAATGTTTCTACTATCCTATTAATATGTCGCGTCTAAAACGCCCTTACACACAATTCTTTATTGCAGCGACAGTAATGTTGGTTACAATTAAGCAATGAATCTACATCATTAGAGAATTAATATTTTTTTCCGAATTAGTATGAATATATTATTAAGATTTAAAAAAACGTCCTCGAACGTAAGCCTCGTCGCACCGTCCAACACAAACACAGTGTTTATTTAGGTTTTTTCTCTCAACTCTCAAATACAGATAGTAGGTATAATATTTCCAGGTTATTCTAGAAATTTTAAGAGTTCGGCGCAGGGGCCCAGTAAAAAAGGGACAAAAAATAACGGATATGATAAAAGAATGTAATAATAATAAACTGTATAGCTCTACAATGACTCTACAATGCATAAAGTATATGTGCAGTGTGCACATAATAGCGACATGTTTTGTTTCTATCACACCGCGGCGTCGCTCTCTTTTCTTTATTCCAGGTTATTCTAGAAAGTTTACGAGTTCGGCGCAGGGGCCCAGTAAAAAAAGGGACAAAAAATAACGGATATGATAAAAGGATGAAATAATAATAACTGTATAGCTCTACCACGACTCTACAATGCCTAAAGAATGTGCATTCATGCATTGTGCAAATAATAGAGACATGTTTTGTTTCTATCACACCGCGGCGTCGCTCTCTTTTCTGTATAGTCTGATGTTGCCATATATTTTTATTTAAATTTACCTCATTAAACTAAAAACTAAAAATGAATTTATTTTTGTTATCAGTTTTTTTTTAAAATACAATAAACGCTGTAGAATAAGCATTAAAATGTATTAATTAGTTTATAACTACCAAAAAATTAAGAAATCTAATCATTCTAGTCTGTATTAGTATTATGAGATACTACAATGCTTAAAATAATATAAAACTAAATAAAATTAAAGTTTTCATAAAATCAGTTCACCGTGTCCATGCGTTTAATAAATCACATATTAAATATTTCTGTTTTATGTTTAGAAATGCAACGACAGTAAAATACCAAAACATTATTTTAAATTTTAAAAGTTGTGAAGATAATGTCATATAATCCAGTTTCTAAGATATAATTATTGATTTGAGATTATATCTCGGAAACTAGATGACAACATTCTATGATGCTTTTGCTACTGTATGCTCTGTAACAAAAAATATATAATTAAATAATTTAAAGCTTTCGTGGCATATTAAAGATGAGACAAATTGAAGATATCACACTAGTTGTCAATTTTTTTGTAGGA